ATTTCCGGACAACCAATCGGCGTCCACGTTCTCCCTGCCCGGCTTGTACTGAATGTTAAAGTCATAGGTGGTAAGAGCCGCTAGCCATCTGTGGCCTGTAGTGTTCAATTTGGCGGTGGATAGGATGTAAGTGAGGGGATTATTGTCAGTTCTCACAGTGAACCGAACCCCATAGAGGTAATCGTGTAACTTGTCGACTATCGCCCACTTTAAAGCCAGAAAATTCAAGCTGGTGATCAGGGTAGTTCTTCTCGGACTGGCTCAACTTACGACTGGCGAAAGCTACAGGGCGCAAGTCATTACAATACTCTTGGTTCAGGACTGCCCCTAGTCCGTCCAAGCTGGCGTCAACTTGTAGAACATATGGCTTGGTAGGGTCAGCAAATGCCAGGACCGGCGCATGACTGAGACAGTGGACTATTTGGTCGAAGGCCTCTGTGCACTCAGGAGTCCAGCGGTCCCCAAACTGCTCGGAAGGGCGAATGTAGGTGACTTTGGGATTTTCTCAGGATTTCCTTTTCTTTTGTGTTGGTGGGTAGCCCTTTGTGAGATCTGTAAAGGGGCGCACAATGGCTGAGTAGTTGGCGATGAACTTTCTATAGTAGCCACAGAAGCCCAGGAAGGACTGGAGTGACTAAAGGTTGGTAAGAGCCTTCCATTGTGCTACAGCTCTTGTCTTGTCCGGGTCAGTGGCAATACCCTCCGCAGAAACAATGTGCCCAACGTACTTTACTTGAGGCAAGCAAAACTGGCATTTGTCAATGGAGAGCTTTAACTCTTGCTCAGCCAGTCGGTCGAGAACTTTTAGAAGACGCTCTTCATGTTCTTCTAGTGTTCGGCCAAAAACAATGAGGTCATCTAGATATACAAGGCACTGGAGTAAGTTCATGTCTACCACAGCCTTCTCCATCAGCCTCTGGAATGTAGCTGGGGCCCCAGTAATGCCTTGGGGCATGCGCTCCAACTGGTAGAATCCCAAGGGACAGATAAAAGCTGTTTTCTATTTACAGTGAAACTCCTCTACAACGAAACCTACATGGGCGAAAATACCCCCTAGTGTGAAAAAAATCTTCATGCATTAACACCATTCCCACTTTCCTGCCCCCCATACAACGAATACCCCCCCCTGTTGCGTTATACGAAATCTTTTTCTCTGCTCTTGCCTCGCGACGAGATTCACTACAACGAAGTCTAATCCAACAGCGACCTCTACTGCTTCGTTCGGAAATGGCAACAGCAACCACCACACTGGTTTACACATGCGCAGTACTGTAGTCCAGGAATTACAACAAATTGTTAGTTTCAGACGCAGCAAGAACGTTGCATTGCTAAAATGGCTACAAAACAGACCTTTGGATGTCAAGCAGCGAAGACAAGAAGAGCTCTGACGCTGGAAGAGAGGGTAAAAGTGATCAAAATGAAAGATGGAGGAAGCAAAATAAAAGACATTATCCAAGAAAGTGATGTAAGTGAAAGTGAATGCTGATTGTAAATTTCGCAATTTCTTTCCCTTTTTTTCTTTCTACACTGACAATATGAAGTGTCAAATAAGTGTCTGCTCATACTAATGCACTATTGGACTAAAAATAAAGAGTACACTTATGTTTGTGTGTGCGTGTACACATACGTTTGTGTGTGTGTGTGTGTGTGTGTGTGTGTGTGTGTGTGTGTGTGTGTGTGTGTGTTTGTGTATGTTTACATATGAGCTCAAATTTGCTACAGTGAAAAACCCCCTGTTGTGAAAAATTTCTTGCTGCAAACATGATTTCGTTGTCGAGGAGTTTCACTGTATCTTCCTCTGACATGGCAATTTGGTAATAGCCACTACGGAGTTCAAGCACAGAGAACCAGCGGCTTCCTGAAAGGCAGGCCAATGCATCATCAATTCTAGGAAGCGTGTATTGGTCTGGAATGGTTCTGGCATTTAGGGTGCGATAATCAATGCACATTCTTACTTTGCCGGGTTTTTTTCTTGCGATGACAATGGGTGATGCAAAGGGCGAGCATGATTCTTTAATTATGCGAGCTGCCAGCAGCTCCTGCAGGTGTCGTTGAACATCATCAATCTCTGCAGGGGCCAGTCGCCTCACTCTCTCTCTCAATGGTTTGTCGTTTCTTAATCTGATTCGATGTTCCACTCCAGCTGCAAGCCCAACATCCCATTCTGACAGTGAGAATACTTCTGGACGTCTTATTCTCCAGTGCTCAGGAATGGGAGAGTCGCCAAAACTGAAAAGGGTTGGATCAAGGCGTGAACTGGGTACTTGGCTGGGCTGAACCTGGGTGATGATGTCAGCTTTGTGGACGTGGGCAAGAACAGTGCCTTTAGGGATGGCCTTTGACTGAAGAGACTCATCATTTTTCAAAAAGAGTGAAAACCTGTTCCTGTCCATATCAGTGGAGAGGAGAACACGGGGGCATCAGAACACCATTGGGGAGTGTCCCTGTAGTAGGAGTCTCAATCATGAGAGGTACAATGGAATCTGTGTTGTACCTCATCAATCTCAAGTTGTGATAGCAATTGCCTTGGAGCAGAGTGTGTTCCAAGATCATCGGACTTCCCACTCGCCCTCTGATTGCAGAGTGTGTTCCAAGATCATCTGACTTCCCACTCGCCCTCTGATTGCAGTGTGTGAGCAGCAGATTCGTGGTCTGGCTGCTCAGATCACGAAGGACCCCTCGCATGCTCTCTTCCCTGCATTCGAATGGCTGCCTTCCGGCCGCAGGCTGCGGTTCCCAGCTTGCAGGACAGTGAGGAGGAGATCCACCTTCGTCCCCCAGGCTGTTCTCCTCTTAAACTCTTAAAATCTTATTCCAAGATCCCTGACCCCCCCCCCCCCCACCAA